TTGAATCATCGTTATGTTGCACCTATAAACTGGGTGTAGTTGGAGGTCTATGTAGCATGGTCAAACAATCTTAGGCGGTCTCCTCGCATTTTGTCCTCTATTGCTGCTATTTGTATCTTCTATCTGATTTTTAATTTTTAATTTTGTTGTACACCTAATTAATATCTGCATACAAACACTTTTTGTGGATATCTCCACTATAACATTAGTGGTCTCATTTATTCAATTGTTCTTTGACTTTAATAGGTATCTTCCTATCACATAGCACACCTCTATGTGTTCCATTTTCATCTATTATTTAATTAACCTCTTTGAATAATGAAGCCTAGATATATCAATTGTCTGTCTAAACTGGCAAAGCAACATCAGATGAATTGTCTGCATTTAAACATGTGGTTTTGTTTAAATATCATTTCAATGCGGAGCCTGTTATCTAATGATAAACAGGAGGATTTTTTTTTTGGTTTAAGCATCCGGTATTTGGTACTGAATGGCCCGACCAATCCGGATTCATGCCTCGTAGGGCCCATTAGGAATTTCTCCATTTCTAGAGGTCAAACTCGAGACCTTTGGTTAAGGGTGGAGGCATCCCATACATTCCATTGTATTCCTTGGTGGTAGGAGGAAGTTCTTGAATAGATAAATACATATGAATATTTGCCCTTCGTTTCCTTCCTCTTCTTTCTGTCCTTTTTATCTTCTTCCTCTGTAGATATTTTGAATGCTCTTTTCCTGGGGGATCATCTCGTCCTTTTCTAACTAATGTGGCATTTAGTGTTTTTAAAGGCTCGCTTGAGGTGCATTTGAAACTAGGTGCATTGCAAGCGTTTTTTTTTCTCTGGTTCATGCAATACTCTAATGCACTTAGTTGCGCGGACTCTTCACTTTTGATGCCGCACCCGTCTCGGATTCTCCAAAAATACACTACTTTTGGCGAATCCGACACGCACCCATTGACACTTTTGAAGAGTCCGAGCAACATAGCTAATGCAAGCACAAAGGTGATGTGACGTGTGCAACTTCCTCATAGGCACTGTTTCTAAAGAGCAGAACTAAATAACATTCTGAGTGAATATGTTAATAATTAAAGTTAGGTAATAAAAATTCAGTAATAAGAAAACTAGCTAAATCTCTTGATTAAAACACAGTGAAAGCTAAAATTAAAAACTAAAATTGTACTATTTACATCTGAATGTGTAAAATATAAAATGGTTTCTGTACTTGATCGACACGATTTTGACTTCATATATTTCAATTTATTGACAATTTTTCTGTCCGTGCAGTTTGTCTGAATAGGTACTTTTCGTACATTATGTGTGTCAGTGTGTCGCTGTCTGTATATAATATGCATTCATCATTTGTTCCTTCCTTAACTAAAGTTTCTAAAGTTCATGCATTAATTGTGCTATGGGCTTAAAGCCACTGCAGACCCTTGATCCTTTTTTCAACACACTCAATGCTTTGACAACACTGGTGGCACTTTGTATATTGGCGATTAGTGGTAGTTATGCCAACAAATTATTCGAACAATGCCAAAAAATAAGTTAAATAGAAAAGCTGGATCATGTTTTTGTGACATTAGTTAAAATCAATGTGATCTATCTTCAAGTAAATGAGCAAATTCTTTTTACTTGATCTCAGCCACCATTTGGTTCAGTCATTGTTAACATTTTCTGCCTTGTTTCCTATTTTGTTCTTGTGTAGGTAAATAGATCCGCAGATCCTAGGGATGCAAGTTCAGCCATTGCTGGAGAATCTTACAAACTGTGGCTAGATCATGAAAATCGGACAGATGATATAACAATCATCATTGTACATATTAAAGCCTTATCCAATGTATGAACCATTTGATTCTTATTTGTTGATTTTCTTGTTTCTTTTCTAATTCTCTGGATATATATAAATTCACATATTTCTACGTTGCTTTCGTTGTGTAAATCATTATTGTTCCTATGGTTAGAAATAAGTACTAACAATTTGATCGATGGACTCTAGGAGCATCTGTTGCTAACATTACTGGACTAAGTTCTTTCTTCATTATGGATTTTGTCTGTTGACTTATTTAAAATAGGATCAAAACAACATAGTTACCAAATTCATGCCTGCAATTTCTTGCCTTTGGTATTCCACAATTCAAGATTACTTCATGTTTCTGTTTACTTTTGGATTAGCTAATATACTCTGAAGTTGGGATAGTCAGGTGGTGGTGCCACAGCCAAAAGAAATGGAGGAAGAACAACAAACACAGAGAAAGAAACATCGGAGATATATTTCACTCCATCTGCTTCGGAAGGTTATCGGTCAGTAAGGAGTGAGTTGTCTGAAGTGAGCTGTTGTCAAACTGTTTCGTCATCAGACCAGAGCTCCAGAGTAGTAGTTTCATCTAGCTTGTGAGTTTCACTCTTTCCCAATTTTACTCTTTTTCTTTATCTGTATATTGTTCTACAAGTGACCGCTTGCTCCTACTTCTCTTGTAGGGATTGAACAAAGAAAAGACTTCCAAGGGTTTCCACGCATTTCCACATATTTTAGATGTGCCTGAAACGGTAACTTCCTTCATTCCTTAGTCATTGATGATTATAAACGTATATAACAAGCGATGCATAAGTAGGTGCACGAACTGATAGCGGTTTATTATACCCTTCTACACATTGAATATGACAGATAGCAGGACCTGAGCAGCATTCACTTAGCAGTTGAACCTATGTCCTTTCCTTGTAAAAGAATCTAGCAGTTTATGGATCTATTGCCCTCTTGACTTCAACTGGTTACACTACTCACTTCAGTTACTTCACACTTTGCGTTCTCGTGCATATCACATCAATCAAGTTTACCTGAGTTGTTCTGGAGACTTCTTTGCTGGGGCGTTGCTTCTGTCAAAAAGCTTAACACTGATGCACATGTACATGGGTTAGTCAATAGTTGCATCTTCTTGCAACAAAAAAGAGCAAACTTTGTACTGTATTCCATCTAAACTTGTCAGTTTTAGAATGACAATATTTCTATCACATCATTTTCGACTTGGTTGCGGAAGAACTTATTGTTGTATGAAGTATCAAACAAGTATGCCACGCATGAAAATTGGTTAAATTTGTATATAGAATGGTCACAGTGTAGTGATTCGTCGTGCAAGGGATTAGGCAGATCACTTGTGTGGACTTGCTACCTTTTTAATATGAGTCCTTATGCTGTGTTCTAGGAAAAACAAGATTCCTTGTTGCCTTTTTGCAGGTAAACAATTTCGTGACGACTTCTAAGTCCTTTTTTAAGCTAGGAACTAGGACATGGATTTGTCATGATGAGAATAGATTTCTCTGTAACGTAATCCAAATGTGATAGAATAAGTACTAGAGTATGGTTCACCTCCCTTTTCAACCAGACAAAGGAGATATGAATTCCATTTAGGTGAATTAGGGCTTGGCTTGACCTTTTTTCTCTTGGGTTGAAGGTGAGAACTTGAAAGTAAATCATCAAAGCCCCACACCCTATATTCTCCTCCGTTAGAGGTGAGAACTTGAAAGTGAGTCATTTAGTGGAATTAGGGAGTGAGGAAGGCGTTTATAGAATAGAAGGCCTTGCCTAAGGAGTGGTAGATTTAATTTTTTTTCTTAGAGAACCATAGTGATTTTAGCATCACTAGTTAACTCGATCGTGCTTTGCGTAGTAATGAAACACGTCACTGAATTTTAAAAATAATAATCAATAAAATATTTCACAAGAACAAAAAAACTTGAATATTCTTTTTTATTTAGGTGAAATGAAGAAAAGAATCGGGAAAATTTGATCTTCTTGTGTGCATGCGTTCTTTGTTATTTACATTGTACATTCCTATAAAGTTTTCCTATTGTTAGAGAACTATATTTTAAGGATGTGTTCGGTACGAAGGAGAAAGTTTACGAGAAAAAAAAAAGTGGGTTTCTTACTCTTTTTTCTTCTGTTCGATATGTAAGTAAAATATATTATCTTAAAAGTATTTGTATATGATCAGATAAAAACGATGGAAGGTGGTAGGGGTGGGGTGGTAGGCAGTGGCGGAGCTAGAAATTTCATGAAGGGTGTCCAAGTGTTAAAGTGAACCCGCTCTTCTTAAAAAGTGAAAAAAAAAATTGTTACACACAAACACTTTAAGTTCGTGTGTCTTTACTCTTTCAAGGCGCCTGAAACAACTAGATTTCATTATATTGTTGTGTCAAAGATATCCAAAATATGTTATTTAGCTACTTTGTTTATTATTTTACTTGTATATACGATATAATTTTCGGATGAAGGGTGTCCAATTGGACACCCCGACATAAGGGTGGCTACGCCACTGGTGGTAGGCATGAGGTGATGAGGATTATAGAGGCGGGAGTGAAAATGAGGTGTGATAGAAGGAGGACAAGGATAAATCTATCAAAAATAAGTATAATAAAATGCAAATATAACATTTATTTAAGGGCAAATGGGCAGATCTGATCATTTTACAAATAAATAATTTCACGTTATGACCCAAATGTTTGATGACTCAATAATTGTATCGGGTTTACCATCCATTTGAAGAAATTTTACAACTTCAATACAAAATTGTGAAAAGAGGTTAAAGGCAAGCAGGTCATTTAAAAAAAAAGAAAAAAAAGAAATTAACGTTCCTGTTTAGAATGAAGAGATTGTTTGTACAACAACGTCAAATACTATTATTTATAAGTAGATTTTAATAAAATCATGTGAAATTTTATTATAAAACATGGTGATATTCAATTTATCAATGCGGTGATATTTTGTTTAAGAACAATGCTTTGCTCATTTGGTAAGGTTATATAAAATTGGAAAAAAATTAAAACAATACTTATAACTTCTGTGATTTTCATGTTTACGGAAAATTTTAAAAAAAATTCAAATCACACATCCAAACAAAACTTTAGTTTCGAATTAATGTGATTTCAAATCTAACAAGTTCATAAATGACATTCCGAATCTCAATAGATTTCGAGCAAATCAATATCCCTTAAGTCTATTTTTCCGTCCACATTCATTTGTTTCAATAAATTATATAATTAGGGCACATAATAGGAGTTCTTCACATTTGTATTTTGAGTTAACAATGGCAGTAGAGAAATCTGAGGAAGAATGGCGTGCTGTTCTATCTCCTGAGCAGTTTCGGATCCTCCGTCAGAAAGGAACTGAGTAATTTCTTTTTTCTGTGATCTTTCTTTTTTGGGGGATTCGATAAGTAAGCAAAAAAATATTTGATTGATGAGTATATTATATGCTGAGAAATTAGTATTTTACAGGCTGAAGGGAACTGGTGAATATGACAAGTTTTATGATGAAGGGATGTATAATTGTGCTGGTTGTGGAACTCCATTGTATAAATCCTCAACCAAATTTGACTCTGGCTGTGGTTGGCCTGCTTTCTTTGAGGGTCTTCCGGGGACAATAAATCGCTCTGTAAGTTCTTTCGTCATAAATGTATTTATATATATGGTGAAAATTCTAACTCCGCTATTGTTTGTACTTACAGCCAGATCCAGATGGAAGGAGGACGGAGATCACATGTGCTGCTTGTGGTGGACATCTTGGTCATGTTTTCAAAGGAGAAGGTCACAAGACACCCACAGATGAACGCCACTGTGTGAACAGCGTTTCTGTCAAGTTTATCCCTGCGAATACCTCATCTGTTTTACTCTGAAACTCCTTTATTTGTAATGGTGTCATTTTCACCTACCTTAAGACTTGGGCAAATGATTTCAATTTCAATAGCCATTATGTTGTAAGGAAGCCATGAATATTTTTGGCCAAATTAAATGCTGAAGCAAATCTTTGTGAACATGTTTATGTTTGTTCAAATTTAGTCTTGAATGAATAATAGAGATTCATATAACTGATTTAAACTATTTCAAGACTGAAGTATTTCGTTGATTTATTGATATGTATGTGGTTATTCAAAGTCTATAAATACAACCTATATCTGCCTTATTCCTAAATGCATCTCTGCGGTGTCAATAGGACAGTATAGGCCTATCAGTCTCTGTAATATCGTATACAAAATTATCACAAAGATTTTGGTAAACCGTATTAAGCCCCTTCTACCTACCCTCATAGAACCCACACAATCTAGCTTTTTGACCGGTAGAAGGGTTGTGCTGATAATGCTTCAGTGGTCCAGGAACTGCTTCATTTTTTCAATAGAACGAAGGGTAGGAAGAATTTCATGATGATCAAGATCGATCAGGAGGAGGCTTTTGACCGGCTGGAATGGTCTTTTCATTCATGACACACTCCTCTACTTCAACTTTCCAGCAACTTTGGTTCGACTCATAATGTCTTGCATAAAGACTTGTTCTATTTCAATCCTGATCAATGGCAATCCTCTATCACCATATATTTTCATCCTTTGCATGGAAAGGTTTTTCCCGAAGAATTGACTAGGCATTGGACTATCTTCTTTTGTCCCTTGTCAACATGTCCCCAAGAGGACCCCAAATTTCTCATCTCCTGTTTGTGGCAGGAGATGAGAATGATGTCAATATTCTATCTCACTTTAGCTCTATCTCAGGACAGCGGATCAATTATTCCAAGTCAAAAAAATTCTTCTCCTTAAATATTGCAACTCCTAATAAATTGCTTGCTCTTGCCTTTATCGATATGACAGACGAAAGAAGTTTTGGGAAATATTTAGGGTACCCTAATGACCTTCAATTCTTACTTGAGAACTTCACGTGCCGTTTGGCGGGCTGGAAAGTTAACTTGCTTTCTGCTGCGGGAAGAGCACCTCTTATCCGATCTACTCTTAATAGTCTTCCCAACCACGTAATGCAGCTTATCAAAGTCCCAGATCATATCATTGATAAGATGGAACGTTGTGAGCGTAGCTTTTACTGGGAAACTACCCCAACTCATAAAAAGCTTCATCTTCTTAAATGGTCTCGTATTACTCAACCAAAAGATAGTGGTGGGCTAGGTATTCAAGATTTGCGTACTAAAAATAAAGCTTCTTGAGTCAACTGCCTGGAGACTTTTCCAATCACCAGACTCCCTTTGGGTAAAGGTACTCTGCAACAAATTTTTATCCCGCTCTACTAGGCTTACTACTGCTTCTCGTACCTGGAAATCGCTAAAGCTTGGTTAGGCCTACTGTAGGCATAGGTTGCTATGACGACCCTCTAGAGGAGATCGTATCAACCTCTTTCATGATCCTTGATTTACCCCAGGTGTCAGTCTGCGGATGCTCATTGAGGGTCCTCTCACGGAGCGAGAAACCACCTTGACGATAGCTAATATACTACAAGTTCGCAACTGGTCTCTTAATTATCTATCCTTTGAACTACCCCATAACATCATGGCATCAATGGACTCTTTTTATTTTCCCCAATGTGCAATTGCTCACATTTCTTGGGGATTGACGGAGACAGGCACCTTCTCAATTAAGTCTTGCTTCGCAGCACTTAGGAAGTTAACTAACTTAGAGTTGCGAATGAATTCGACTGACAATGTCGACTTTTCTTGGATCTGGAAAATGCACCTCCCACCTAAGCTAAAGCAGTTTTTATGGCTTCTCAATCATGGAAGGTTGCCGACGTCTAGCTTTCTCCATAGCATCAATATTCTCCAATCCCTTCTTTGTATGCTTTGTGATTTACGAGAAGAGGAGACGTGTGTTCACCTGTTCCTCTTATGTCCTAAATTAGCGCCATTATGGTCCGAGTTAGGAATCACTCAACAAATTGCTTCTTTGGGTACTTCTCCTCAGTTGGAAACTCCAATTTGGTTGTCTAGTTTTTTTGTGCACATGTATGTATGTCAAGTGGAACCCGCATGCTAATTCTAACATTATGGTTATTACGGATAGTGGTTGCGATTCAGTTTCAGGCCTTAGGAGGTGTTTTTAGAAATAGTGTCGGAGATTGGATACTTGGATTTACAGGGACTTGTTCTACTTCTCAGCCTCTTGAGATGGAAATGCGAGCTCTGTTGCTACAACTCACTTTAGCTCTGCAATATGGGATGATACGCATCTGGAAGTAAACATTGACTCACTACAGTTGGTGCACCTACTAAACTCACCACTATTTCATGATTCTCCTTTGTTAATTGATTGCAGGTACCTCCCCCACAGGATGGGTGATCCGCGAGTTAGTCACGTTTACAGGGAACAAAACAAACTAGCGGATGCTTTAGCTACTGTCGCCATAACTACTACTTTCGTGGATAATAACACTATGCTGTTTTGGAACTCTCCAGCATCCTTGACGGATATTTTGCGGGCTGACAAGAATGGGGAGTTGTATAGTAGAAGAGTGCAGGCTACGTCCCACTGCAGTAGGTCTATGTTTAATACTAGTTCGGCTAGGCAAGTTGTACATACATCATCTGCTAGTTCGGTTGTTTCTGTAGTGGCACAGCCACAACTTAGGACCCTGTAAACTTTTTGTTATACATGCTATTTACTTCTTCCTGACCAAAAATAAATAAATTGATTATTGAGAAGCTAAAGAAGAAGCTTCTTGGATAGCAAGAGAACAAGGGAAAAACACAAAGGATGAAGTCGATGGTTGATTTTGTCCAGACAAAAAAAACAGCGTAATAATCATAGAGATAGAATACACAAAGAAAATAGCCATGTTTTAGTCCTAACTCATCTCAGTTTATTAATTCCAGCAACAGTTAATAGTCAGTCATCATTGTGTTTCTTTGTTAGCCCCCATTGGAAGAAAAATCAGCAGAGAAAGTAACTGTAAGCCTCCAACTTCAGAAAACTGCCTCAGCTACGTAGACCAAAATGCTTATCAACTCCTCTTGGCTTTCTGTCTTCTATCATTACACGCCTTGAGAGCCTGAACTTCTGCAACCAGCAAGTAGTTTTTGGAATAAACTAGAAAGCAGTAAACAATTGAGAACTAGAATGGTATGCATTCTTTTTTATTCCCCGTCTGTGTTAATACAACTGATATTATAAACAAGAGAATATCAGTACGCACACATCTGAACATGAAAGCGTGCACAGTTCTACCCCTTTTCTCATGCCGGCTGAGAACTTGCACATGTGATTCTGACTAGAGATCCCGGTATACTATGTTTCTACCCGTCAGTTATATGTTTTCTCAATCTCCGTTCTGCTTCGTTTGGAATACTGTTGTGAATGAGATGATTGTTGACTGGGATGCCACTCAGGATGAGCACATGGGACTGCCACGTAAGACTGCTAGAAAGGTCATTCCTCCTAAAAGACTTGGTGATTACGTGTGGAAAGGGGGAAGTTCACGTAAAAAGGGGTAAATTGGCAAGCAGTAGGCATAAAGCATCGTGAGTGGAGCAGTGCAGGGCAGAGTACTTTTTGTTATCACTGGACACTCTTTCTCTCTCAATTTCTTCTAAGTTCCTCACCTCCTTCTTCTTCTATCGTTAGTTTTGCTACTCCTGCAATTTCCTCTTGTATTTCTGATTCTAGGGACTTCAATATATCTACTACTTGTAAGTTGAGATAAAGGGTATTAGTATAAGTGTAGTTGGTGTTTCACTGTGTCAATTTGTTACATTGGTGCTTTCATCCAGAGGTCTTCCATGGATGACCAAAGACTCAAGTCACTTGTTGAAGAATCAGTTCAGGGTATGAAGGACTCCATTCTCGCAGATATTCGCTCTTTGTTACTAGAAGTGGTAGGAAGCAAAACCCAGCGCCCAGAGAGGGACTCACATGATGACCGTTTTCCGACAGCCCCTAACCTCCGTCACAGGCCAGCTTCGGTGGAGTTTGGACGTTTCTGTGGAGAGAATCCGGAGGCTTGGATCTTTCAGGCAGAACGATATTTTGAATTTTACAAGATTGCAGAAGACCAGCATTTGTCACTTGCTTCTTTCTATCTGGACGGGGATGCATTGGAATGGTATCGGTGGCTTTTTCGGAATAAACAACTGGTGGATTGGGAGCACTTTGCTTCGAAGGTGAGGATCCGTTTCCATAAAAAGGGATTGGAGTCCGCCGAGGGACGTTTAGCGAAGCTCCGACAGATGACCACTGTCGCCGATTTTCAGTCCAGATTTGAGATCATTGCAAACGAGACTGACGACATGGATGATAACCGAATGGTACGTCTCTTTATTTCTGGGCTTCGTGAAGATATTAAGAACTCTGTTTTGGTCCATAAGCCTAAGAGTTACGAAGAGACACTTAATTTAGCTCATATACATGAGCGACGGATCCAAGCGGAGAAAGGACCCGTTAGGCCAGCTTTTGCCAGATCAACTTCCATTTTGCCTACCCCAAATTCTGCAACCCTAAATCAAAATCCCTCTTCTTCTTTAACACCTTACAGTGCCTCACCTTCCTCTTCAAATCGTACTCTTCTTAGAAGGCTCACTCATGCAGAGCTCCAGAGCCGCCGTGAGCGAGGATTATGTTATTATTGTGAGGAGAAGTACTCATCGGGACACAAGTGTAAGAAACCCCCACAACTTATGTTGCTCACTGATGGATCCGATTTGGACCCTAACTTGCCAGAACCGTTTGTCGATGAGGATTTCTTAGTGGAGGAATCACAAGGTTTAGAATTACAGGAGCAATCATCTATTTCTTATCATGCTTTATCTGGGGAATTTCACCCTCCACATTACGATTCACTGGAAAGGTAAATGGGTCACCAGTCCAAGTTTTAGTGGATGGCGGAAGTACTCACAATTTTGTGCAACCACGTGCGGCCAAACAACTTCAGCTCAAAGTTGAGGTCATTCCCCGTTTTGCAGTTATGGTGGGCAGTGGACAAAGGCTCTCGTGTGAAGGTGTGGTGAAGCAAGTCACCGTATTGATTCAAGGGTGTACTATAGTCGAGGACCTTTATGTCTTACCTTTC